TGCGAATAGAGCTATCAATGTTTGCGTTACTGGCGTGGTGGCTGGGCTTGGGTGAGGTGTTGCCTGCTGGTCGTGGTGATGTGTGATAAGGATGGGTGGGACAGGGTGAGATAGGATGGAACAGCATTGTGCGACGTGAAGCAAAAGTACCGGCAGACGTTTAGTAAAGGATTTCATAGTAGAAAATTACCGCGAACAGATTATGGTTGCGTACCTCATCTGGCAAACTGGAGAGGGAGTAGGTCTGCTTTGAGCCTGACGCGAGCATGCTGTCAATAAGGCATGTGGCATCCCTATAACCATCTACACGACTGGCTCTTTCCTCTGGAAGAAATACAACGGGATCTTCAAGCTGTCCCGTAGCTGCAAAGATTGGTTGCTGAGGCGACGTGTCCATTTCGTTGCTCGACGTCTGGAGGAAGGCGAGCGAGTTATCGCGCGACGAGGAGACACAGCCTGTCAGCGTGACGAGAATTCGAGGCTGTAAAATGTAAATTGTAAGGCGCAGCACAGGCGCTCACGCAGATATCGCAACTCGATGGCGCCTTATTTTACCTCAGGGTCAAATCGAAGCAGGATGAGGGATGCCAAAAATTAGCAGATACCAATTTAATTTTCCTAACGGCTTTTGATAGTATGCCTGATTGCCTGTAAAAGGTCGCCTACCGCTTTGCCTTCCAATTGGCGTGGATCACGGAGCATCTACCTATGTATTGAAGCAAGGTATAAGGAAGATCACACGTAATCAATTCTGGACAATGGAGTTGTTTGTGTCAAGAGGCTAACCCTCCCTGAGCGGTTCGTATTTTATGACTTGCCAAGGAATAAGATTTTAAGCAATAAGGAATGAAGCAACATCAGGCTTCATAACGTCTGTGCATTCCATCAACTGATGAACGGCATCCCACAAAGGGCATCGCAGACGGCAGCGCTCATCATCGTACATATCGCCGCCCGTTCCTCCCCGCTCCCTGCAAATGTAAAGGCTGCGATCCACAAAGGCACATATGCATGAGGCAAGATAAATTCCATAATAAGCGACGGTTGCTACCAAATCAATGTGCCTCCAGCTTCCTGTGAATATGCCTCCGAAGGGAATGCTTTTCTTCAATGTAATAAACATACACGCGATTTAAATCGATGCACAACTTGTCATGCTAGCCAAGTGGAGCTGTGCATTGCTTAGAGTTGCGACAGCTTGGTGAGACGGATTCCGATTACGATACTGTACCCGGCAACAGACGCAAATAACCACGGCAAAGAATTACATGCCTATACATGCATGTAAAAACTCACGTTATAAATGCACACATCAACA